AGGCCCAGGAGCTTACTTGGAAAGGGAGATCCTCTGAGCAGCCTGTGTGTTGGGAAATGCGTTTAGAACAATAGCTGCTCTATTCTTTAGCGTCAGGCTCGGTCTTGCTCCCTCTGAAAGCTGTAAGAATGGGACTCAATCTTTTCAGCTTGTCTGTGGCATACGCATGCCAGCTTAGTCTATTTATAGCCCTGCACCATTTAATTTTTCTTGCCTCTATTATCCATTTATCAGCCGTCAGATAGGACGCAGTGTAGCTACTAACGAATGCTTTCTGTAGCCTGGCCATCAGAGAGCTGCCTCAGAGAAGTGCAGCCCGTCTCCCTCTGGGAAATGGCAATCTCTGGGTCAGAGATGAGGAATCCAGACTGTAGCTGCAGCATTCTAATGTCTTGCAATTAGTGCCTATTCAGATGCATCGCAGCTCTCTTTCTTTCATTATTAAATGTTACGTCTCTTACTAGTTTAGGCTTTTCACATGTTCTCTCCAGCTGATTAAATATTAAGGCTGCAGCACCAAAAAGGCTGCTCTGTATTCCTCACATCCCCGAAATGGAAAATATTTATTATCAAGGTTTGAAACTTGAGTCTGTTCAGAAACAAAACAAATGAAATTCGCTACTAAATAAATTTAATATCAAACTGATGTACACGCACACAAGTCACTTGATACTCATTAGATACAAGAAGACTATTGAAATGTCAGCTATGTTTTCTTTCTAAAGGCCAGAGATTTCTTTTGCATGCAATAGGTCAGAAGCGTTTTTCAGGAGAGTGCCACATACTCCCAGGAGCATTGACTACAGGCATCGACCAGCTTTCACATTTATTTTAGTTCTTACAACTCAGAGTAGGTTAATAATGAAATTCTAATAAAATTCCACATGAAAACAAGCTACAGATTCATTGCTGGCGTACAAGGACATGAACTTTCTCATGTAGAGCGTTATTCATTTAGCTATTTTGTATAATTATTTTGAAGCCAAAACAATTAATGATGCCCTTGACCAAGAGCACTTCTGATATTAAAACCATCTATAAATGACACTTTCCTTTGTGAAGGAAACCCCACAGATACCGTCTTAATACTAGCAGGACCTGAGGTCACTCTGAGTAAAAGGTCTTGCCTCTCATACAGCGTGAGTGAAGGAGCGAAGAAACCTGCTGTACAAAACCTGAGCCACCACATAAAGCTCTGCACGAAGGATGCTACGCGCTGTTTGCATGGCACCGCCTGGCTCTCTCAGCAGGTGGAGCGCACCCCGAAAGGGATGCTTGGGCTGCCCGCGGCAGGCGGTAGCAAGCTGGCTGTGTTACCAGCAGCGCATCCAGTGCTGCAGGCAGCGCTGGGGACAGGCGACCCCAAGCACTGGCAGCAGGGTCCGGACACGCTGCTTGGTTTCTTCGCTGTTGCACCGCCCACCTTTCTGTGGGGTAACGGTAGGATGCTGTACAGGGCTGCAGTTTAAGACGTTGCTAGTTTAAAATGTAAAAATCACTCACGGGTTGCTAGTTTAAAATGTAAATTCATTTCTGACCCTGGTTACAGAGGGAAGGGAAGGAAGAAAGCTGAAGTCCTAGTGCCCACATGTGTTCTGGCTGTGAGACAGCCCCAAAGCTTGCTCACATTTTCCTAGCTATCATCAAAACCACAAACTGCAGCTCAACAAATGCCCCAGCTTTTCATTCTCCATATTGTTTGTTCTTTGCACTAATGCCAGCCATCATCTGTTCCAGATGAGAACTCTCGAAATAATGAAAAACAAACTGAATGTAAGAACAAAATAAATAACGCAAGGAGCACTGATCACACTCTGAATCTGTGTACTCAATTCAGTAGTAAGCTCAATATTTAGAGTATGGTTACATGCTGTCCTGGTTTCGGCTGGGATAGAGTTAATTTTCTTCCTAGTAGCTGGTACAGTGCTGTGTTTTGGATTTAGTACCAGAATAATGTTGATAACACACTGATGGTTTAGTTGTTGCTAAGCAATGCTTACACTAGCCAAGGACTTTTCAGCTTCCCGTGCTCTACCGACTGAGAAGGCTGGAGGTGCACAAGAAGCTGGGAGGGGGCACAGCCAGGAGAGCTGACCCAAACTGGCCAAAGGGACATTCCATACCATGTGACGTCATGCTCAGTACATAAACTGGGGGAAGCTGGCCGGGGGGGCCGCTGCTCGGGGACTGGCTGGGCATCGGTCGGCGGGTGGTGAGCAATTGCATTGTGCATCACTTGCTCTGTATATTATTATTATTATTATTATTATTATTATTATTTCAATTATTAAACTGTTTTTATCTCGACCCATGAGTTTTTCTCACTTCTACTCTTCCAATTCTCTCCCCCATCCCACCGGGGAGGGGGGGAGTGAGCAAGCAGCTGGGTGGTGCTCAGTTGCCGGCTGAGGTTAAACCACAACACATGCTAAAATGAGGATGTCCTATTTTCCTCCACCTTCTCCTTTCCCCTCTCCTTTGCACTCCTCTGGCTCTTGGGGGGCTGATTCAAGTTACTAACCCAGCAGAAATCTAATCCAGAAAAAAAAGGAAGATGTTTCTGCTCGGTTGCTGAGCTAAAATAGGCCCACCATATGGTCAGCTGAAGGGAGGGGGTGGGACTGCATGGCCAGGAGGAGCAGCGGCCATGGGAAGAAAAGAAGGACTGGCAGAAAACCTTACTCTTATCATCAGGTTAATTTTCTTCAGATTTATGTTTCAACTCAGGGTCAGGCAAAGCCCAGAGCTGATGTGAGAGAGAGGGATGGGGAGACACCACGCGACTGCTGGTAGGGAGGGAGAGCAGGGATGTGGCCACTGGTAATTAGTTTGGCCTAAGCTGTCTTGGAAATCCAGGTTTAGCTCCTTGGCAGTGCCCAGAGAGCTCTTCTCCCCAGAGACCACGGTCTCGGGCTGCGGAGGGAACCAGAGAGTCAGGTGGCAGAATCCAGGCTGCCCTGGCTGCAAGACAAACAGCAGTTCGTTCTGGCACACGGAACAAAAGTGTAGCGGTTTGGTTTGGAAATTAATAGTTACTTTACTTAACAGAAAGACAGCAAATACATATTCTCGAAGGGTTGTGATGTATATGAGTTTCATATTTCTATAAATCACGCAGCATTTCTCTTTTGTTGGTGAATTGGCACTTTCCAAACAGGTAAATCAGGCGGTGATGTTGCTAAAACATAAAAGGCAAAGACTTTCAAGAGTGGATGTTTAACGGCAGGGATGAAAGGCCACACTTAAGTGCCTAAATGGGTGTGTAGTTTTCAGAAGTGCTCAACACCAGCAGTTATCGTCAATGGCAGCTGCTCTGAGTCTTGAGCCTCTGAAAATAGGGCATTGGGTAGGTGCTAGAACATCGGGCTTAACATACATTTTTAAGCACTTGGTCTAGATCTTCAGCTCACTATTTGATTGAATGAAAACGCTTAGAAAGCAGCACTAAGTTCCATTAGCCTGTTATGAAATAACTGATACATTTACTTAAATTTGAAATGATTAATTAAAAATATTTAATGAAATAATTTTAAGGAACAAGCAGAACCATTCCAGTCTCAACTTCATCACTCTGTTGACCTTCTCAAGCATTCAAAGCTGAATTACCTTAACAGATGTTGCGACAGAAGGTTCCTATTAGGTGTTTGACGTTGCAAGAGGAAGCCATGATTTCCATTCCTTGGGAATGGGATGTCAGCCTGAAATCGCTTGTACTGCTTAGGACTAAGAAACATTTCGTTTTGCCACCATATAACTCTTAAGAAAACAGTTATGTTCTGGAGGGAAATACAGACAAGTGCAATAGTAACGTGCTTCATATTTGCCATTCACTGCTTTTTCCAGTGTTGCTCAGCTAGCAGGCTTTAGAGGTGGGACGATACCCAACGCAATCCCCAGCTGGGGAAATCTGGGATCCAGTTCTTAAGAGAAACCCCTCCTCCCCCAAAGAGGACCTTAAGTTGGGATAAAAACTTTCAATCCTGGTTCTTTCTGAAGCAGCCTGTAATTTCCAGTTCTTCTCTCTCTCTCCTTGGAATATCAGCTAAGATCTGCTTTGGTAATGGAGTCCTGTCTGACACAACTTCGGTGTCACATACCTCGTCACGTAAAGAGGCCTTTGGAAATAACACTTCACACAAGGGTGACCCAGCCAAGTTTGCCACATGTTGGACTGTAAACAAACATATGGCAGAGATATGTCTTTTTCAAGGAGACAAGCATGGAGGGGAAAACTGAATCATCTTCGCGTTTATATACATACATTTCACACACGTAAAGCTTCAGTGATCTGGAGTTATTCACTGTACATATGATGAGGAAGAAAGAAGTCAACTCACTGCTGTCTCTGGAGAGACAAACCTGGGGCTGGCTGTAGATCAACAAATCTCAGACCTGGCTTCCTTTATGTGGGGGATCGTTTACCGACTGTTTGTGATATACAAGGTGCCAAAAGTTTGTGATGATATCATATTCAATCATACCCTCTGAAGAGGTGGAAATCATACTGAGTGGCGTGGTCCTGAGTGTATAACTTTTGAACTGAAAGCCTGAGATCCCCTTACAGACCCTGGAGAGCTAACGCCTCGTCAAGGCAATCAGCAGGGCCTCCAGAGCAGAGCAAGGATGTCTGCTTTACCGTGACTTGGATAGCCCTTGAAACAATATGGACTTCATTGACAAGATCGCCATGGCCTATAACGGGATCTTGAACACCTAGATTTTATCTGCCACCTCCAAGAAGAGATTAAAATTTAGGTATGTTAATGTGCGAGCTGAAAGCCACCGCAGCTGTTGATGCTACAATATACTTCAGTGACACTTCTGCTTTTCTTTACCATGCTTTACTGGGGGAACTTACTGCGAAGCAAAGCTAAGGAGGAGCTTGTAGCTGATGGTGAGAGCCAAAAATAAATGCAAATGCAAAATGTGGGGACCCAGCATTTTGTTCTGAGGACTCTGTTCTCACTGAAGGTGATAGTAGGCAGATAAAACTCTGTTACCTGCAGAAATTTCCGTCTGCCTCTGGCAGGGTCAGAGAAGCCACGGGATTCTTCAGGAGATCTGCCACAGTGTTATCCTTCGGTGTCACATAAAAGAAAGGGATTCCAGTGCTGTTATTGACGGGACCGTCGCTGAGAAGTAAACAGTTCCCATAGGGCATACCTTGGATCTGCAAAATCCAGATAAGCAGCTGGTTACATCTTTGCACATAGACGGTTTACAATGTCGGGGATTCCCTCAAGGGCTCCAGCAGAGAAGACAGCAACCCCCAGTTGCTCAGTCTCCCACTTTCTGTTGTCATCATGAGACAGACCTTCTTCTAAATTAGATCTATCATGCTTCTATGAAAACAGATCTCTCCTCTATTTCTTCTTTCCAGTCCTGTCCATAAGACTATAGAGGACATTTTCTCTTCCACCATATTAAAAAAGTGTAAGTGCATTAAAATCAATGCCATCAGTGTCAAGAAATGTTTACTCCAAAACAGTGCTGATACCTCTTTTCAAACCCGAATGGATAGAGCCCAGTTTAGCCTTGATTCAACCTGCTTTTTATGCTAATTTTGCCTCCCCTTTTGGCCTTGATTTGCAATGTGATTGCATCGGTTTGCCAAGAGAGAGGGGAAGGCGTTTTAGCTAGAGTTGTGTTTAAAGTCAAGCTGGACGTCAGCTCAGCTGCCTGGGCAGGAACCTCAGCTATGGCGGGG